GTAATTAACTGTTTAATTTTTAAAATGATATTCATTATCATTTTTAGTTTTATACTCATTTTAATCACCCATCCATCCATTCTCCATGCTCCCCCAACTCCCCAACTTCTATATTCTTACAGAGGTGAAGCACAGGGCTTACAGAAAGCTGTTCTTAATAATGGCTCCCATCTTCTTCATTCAGTAATTAACAGTTGTGCACATACTATGTTCCAGATACTATTCTAGACCTTGGAAATACTGAAGGGAACAAAACATAAGGTCCCTATACACATGAAGGCTTGTATTCTAGTGGGGAGAGATAAATAATAAATGAATAAACATACATAATTGTACAAGAAAATATCAAGTCATGATAATTGTTAAATAAAGAGCTAAAATGGGTTGATAGATGGAGAGTAGTGACTTAAGTGTTGCTATTTTAGAACTAATAAACCTCTGTGATTGGCCATTCATAGAAGTAAAGGATAGCTTCGAAGACTAAATAAGGAAAATTGAGAGCAAGCAAAAAGTTGGAGCAACTAGAAATCACTGGAGGGCAGTGACTGTGCCTCAAAGGAGTAGGGTACTGGCTCCATATGCCAGAGGTGGTGGGTTCAAACCCAGCCCCAGCCAAAAAATAAAAATAGAAATCACTAGATCTTTTCTCATGAAGTTCATTATTAGTAAATATATATACAGAATAAAAGAGAACATGTTGCCATTTTGAACACATTCTAGCACTGAATGACATGTGGTCTAAACATAATACAGAATGAAACATTCAGAAAATAATTAGAACTTAGAGACCTTGTACATAAGTTTCTCCCACCAAAAAAAGTAAAAGTACTACAGAGGGAAGAGAGCAGTGGATTAGCTAAGTAGACTGACCACTTTGGTGTTTAAGGGATTGAAATAGCTAGAAAAAGAAATAGGAAATGAAAAAGGGAAAACCTAGTATGTATCAGGCACCATGCTATAGTCTTTACACAATCTTATTCTCCTCTCATAACACATTACAGAGTACATAGTATTGGCTCAGCGCCCGTAGCACAGTGGTTACACTGCTAGCCACATACAGGGTGATGGGTTCGAACGCAGCCTAGGCCAACTGAACAACTGCAACAACAACAACAAAAAAAAAAAAAAAGCCAGGCATTGTGGTGAACACCTGTAGTCCCAGCTACTTGGGAGGCTGCAGCAAGAGAACCTCAGAAGTCCAAGAGTTTGAGGTTGTTGTGAGCTGTAATGCCATGGCACTCTACTGATGGCAACATAGTGAAACTCTGTTTCACAAAATAAAAATTAAAAGTATATAGTATTAAACACATTTATAGGAGTACAGTTGAAAATGAACTCAAAATCTACAAAATAATAGATTCAGACCTTGACTCACCTATTTCTAAAACCACTGCACCACTCAAATAGGCCTTTTGTCTCTGAAATTGCCTTTCAGACCATACTTTTCCAAAACATTCATCCTCTCTTCTGTTGTTGTGAGAAGTTTTGAGCTGATGCCAAATTTTAGCTCAGCCCCGTTATCTTTCTTCCTGTCAGATAAGCAGTCCTTTGCTATACAGTTAACTTTTTAGGACAGGTTTCAGTAATGGGTCATAGTGAACAGGAGAGCTATTAATGATGCATGTACTTCCTGTATAGACCATTGCAGGAGAACAGGGGCACTGGGTTGTTTCCAGTGCCAAATAGCAAGTTGTTAGTTGAGGGAAACATGCCTATTAGGCTTAATTATTACCAAAATTGTCAATATTACAGATTTAATCCTTTTTGAAAGATTCAAAACACCAACCACTAGGACAAAATCTGAAAATTCATGACTTCTGCCCATCCTTTAGTTGAATCTTACATAATAGCTTAAGCTGCAAATAAAGAAAACCAGCATTAATGTATAGTGTTCAACATCTTCATTTCGTTTTTGACCAAATGCTCCTTAATCCTTATGATTCTACACTTTTAAATCTACCCTAAAATAACATTTATCTTTTTCAAAGTCCCCAACCATAAATCAACCATAATGGAAACTCTTCTTGCTTTTATTGCAAAGATATGTACTCCACCGTTTGTGTCTAAAGTTCATCTCTCTCTTTCACAGCTGACTCAGTGGATTGTAATCTTTAATGCAACCTGCATGGCATGTGTTCATCCACTCTATGTGAAGTCTTTATAATTTTTATATGATTGATAGCATAATGCTCTTCATTGGTCAGGAGAACCATCTCTATTTCCTTCTTGCCTTGGTACATGTTAAATTACTTAATCCATTTACTTTGACAATTGGGACTTCAAATGTAGAAATATGAAAGAAACACAACCAGGCTTAACAAGTCTGTGTCTGACTCTTAAGCCTAGGTATTTTCACTATACTGTGCTACCTCTGACGGTTTTAAAATCAAAGCTCCCTTTTGTATTAGCTAGTGGGGAGAGATAAAGACTAAATTAACTATCAATCACTCAAATGCCATAGCGTTAGGAGAAAAAAAAAAGATTTTTTTATTTTATTATTTTTAATAGACACATAATAGTTGTATATGTTAATATTTATGGGATATCGTGTGATATTTTGATACAGGTTTTCAGTGTGTAATGATCAGTCAAGGTAATTTTCATCACCTCAAACATGTATCATTTCATTGTGTTGGGTACATTCAAAATCTACTCTTCTAGCTATTTGAAAATATGCAATAAATTATTAATTATAGTCACCCTATAGAGCTACATAATACTAAAAGTTATTTCTTATATCTGGCTATACTTTGTTAACTAACCTTTGGAAAAGCTCCTTTATTAAACAGTTTTTCCAAACCGTTATCCATGCTTGTCTTTTAGACCTTCGTTTGACCCTTCATCCTTTATGATCACATATCAACTAACATTATCCTCTATGTTAAATGCATACAACTCTTTGCATTTCAAAGCTTGTCCCCCAGCTTTCTGTGACATTTCCCTCTAACATGATGTATATGAGGGTTTTTTAACTATAGTGTTTTATCAGTTGTAGGTATTACTACTAAATACAGCTCAAGACCTTCTCTAGAAAACTTAGGTTAGTTTTACCCATTCTCCAATTAATTCAGCTAATATATAATCTCTAATCTATGTCAGGCATACTTATATCTCAGAACTTCAGAGATGAATAAAATGAATCAAAAACTATTCTCTTAGGAAGTTATAATCTACTTCCCAGCCCTACTCTCTTAGACTACTTCCTCTCTTTTTAGTGTACCATATTCACCATTTTCAGTTGTTTCTCTTGTTAATGGTTTCTCTTAGTAACCTTAAACTCCCAGGGATCACATCCAGATGTTAACCAAAAAGGGTGGACAGTGTCATGCTATGATCAAAACCATGGACCTTGGATAAGTTGCTCCGGTTTTCTCATTTAAAAATGCAGTAATACCTACTATATAAAGAAGTTGTCAGAAGTAAATGAGATGATAATTTTAGTGTACAAAGGAGTGGTTGCTCTGTCTTATCACTTACTTGTAAAAAAACCTGCAGTGACACCTCTGTCACCTTTCAAATTAAATGTAAGAGTCTCAGCCCACTATTGGATGCCCTCAGGTAGGATCCCCCAAGCTACTCCGTCAGCCTTCTCTTATGACTCTCCTCTGTACTCTCTCAGTCAAACCAAAAGGCCTACTCCCTGGAAATACCCTTCCTCCTTTTACCATGAGTGCAAACCAGTAATTACTGCCCTTTTTGAGTGTCCATTGTATTTTAAGGTGTTTGCTATTTCATACATTATTGCTTTATACCTAATTTTAATGTACTGGTTAAGAATACAGATCCCAAGTCCAACTCCTTGTTTATTTTCATACTTTGACTGCACAGTCTTCTAGCTGTGTAACATGAGATAAGTTACTTAATCTCTCTAAACCTCAGCATCCTCACCTATAAACGGAGACAATAATAGTAACTATTATAGTGCTGCTGTGAAGATTAAAAATAATAATCCATCTAAAGCATCTAATACAGTAACTAACACATAGAAAATAAATATCAACTATTTTTATTACTGTTGAACAATTTGCTATTTTCTTCTTATACACCTCTGGCAAAGTATTTTACAAATGGTGAGAAAAGTGAAGTGGCTCTTTCAAAGTAATAACATAACAAGTAATTGGAAAAGATGAGACTTGAAACCAGAGATATCCGGTTCCGAAATCCTTTCCTTCCACACCGTTTGCCTTATGCTAATCTCACTACTTAAAAAATATCCTTCCTTGTGTCTAACTGGAATAATCTTTCGAAGCCCATCTCAGCTGCTGCCTCCTTCACCTAGCTCCCTTTGATCACCATCTAACTGTGAGCTTTCCCTCAAAACTTT